TAGTACTAACCAAAATTGTTAAATGGAGTTCTAGCTCAGTTAAAGACAAAAAAAAAAAATATGTCAGTGTACAGTTTTGTTAGATTGCCAGAAAAAAAAAATCTTTTTTTTTTTTCTCTTTCAGTTTTAATCTAACTGCAAAAATGTGCATCCAAGATGTATATGAATTTGTTTCTTCTTCTGAACATATTTGGAGACATTTTTAGCATTACATCACTTGCTCACCAATGGAATGGGTGCCGCTGATAAAGCAGCTGATAAAAAGATAACTATGTTAGCGTCCACACCAACGGACCATTACTTTCAGGAGTAATGCAGATGAAGGTGTTGATTGTCACCTACATTCAGCATTTCAACAAAGTCTCTATATACATCCATGCATCTTAGATGATGCCTTCTTTTTTTTTTTGCTTGCCATGAGGCCAGTACGTTTTATAGCTACGTGCTTAAGTTTTCTTATTTGAATATTCTATTCTTAGCATAGACCTTTCACTGACATGAAACATATAGTTTGACAACATATAAAATTGAATTAACCTTTAGAATAATTTTGAATAACGGTGTTATTCAAGTTCAAGTTCAAGTTCAACTGTTTCCAATGTAGTTAAACTGTTTTAAACTATAGTTTAAAGTTTGACCGAATCAAGTTCCCAATCAAATCTTATTCTGTTCTTGTTTGTGCTAGCTCTTTCTTGTTGATCGTTGCACTTTAGTGTTTTTCTTTTAATCCGTGGCACTGATGGACACCTCAGGCTCCTCACCCTGGAAGTCCTCGATCCACTGTCAGTCAACCGACAGATTAAGTGCTTACATCATCAAACAGTGCCGTTCTGTTGGCAGAGGTCGCGGAATGTGATGAGGTTGAGAGAACATGGGCACAAAGGCAAAAATGCTCAGAATGAGAGCAAACAGGGCAACAGTGAGACTGACTAAAACATTTGTCAGAATGGTGACTCAATTCTAGCTATGACTGCAATGCCCTATAAAGTTTGAATAAAATGCCGTAACCTTTTTTTGGTCATGGTAGGTTTGGTAAAATCAGTAATGAACCTATTTTTTTGTTTTGTTTTGTTTTGATTATTTTAGTTTTTCTTTTATGTTCATGTTACCATCAGAAATGGTTATAAGAAAGCGGGTTATTGCGTTTACATGCCGTGCAAAATCGGAGTAAGAGGCAAAAAAACTACCTGTTGCGACCGGTTTATGCTCACAATATACACACGCTGCCGTGTGCAGCTCTGCTATGCTCTTTCACACGCGGTCATATCCGTGTCTCAGAGCGGCTCACAGTAAATGCTGCTGCTCGTGAGTTTAGACCATTACACCAATATCGTGGCATCAAAATGTTATGTTGTACAACACTGAAACGCTGTATTATTATTTTATCGTGTACAACCGACGAACTTAACATAGGCTGAAAGTAGCAAGCTAACGTTAACTGTGGGGCTGCTGCTCGGTATAATAGTTTTCAAGAACATTATGTAAATTGGTAAACTATTTAGCCTAGCCTACTAAAACGAACACAAACTTAACATGAACTGTTAAAAATTATAGCAATTTATGCAAAAAAATTGATGGAAAGCTGGCAGCCTGCACGTTTCTTACCTTGACCAACTTCTTCCATATGCATCAATTTTTTGTTCTGATCTCAACAAGTCTGGGCAAACTAGCCTATTGAGTAGCCACCCATCAGAGGCCGCATTTTTATGATGTCATCATGTAGACTTTTTACAAAGTATTTTACAGTATTTTAAAACTACAAAAATACAAAACACTAAAGTATTTTGATACAAAATACGAAGCCATTTTCATCAACCCTATCAAATACAAATTACAAAATACTATTTTGTATTTGAAATACATGTATCATAAATACTGCCCATCCCTGGTTATAAGCATATCATCTTTCTCATGCACACAGCGGGGAAAGAGTGTGAGGAGTAAAAAGCTGGAGTGTGGCCGAAAGGAAGGAGGAAGCCGGTGAGTTAGGAACACCCTCTTTGTGGAAATGTCAAGCTCAACTCCCAAGAAACACTTTGGAAACACAGTCAAACAATGAGGTTTATTTAACTTAAGATGCTTGTGATTGCTGGACGGTGTAGAGGGTGTTAACGTTACTGTTTATTGTCAGTGGATGAAGGCTGATGTGAGGAGGACGACCAGGGCGGTAGACAATTCAACACCACGGCTATTTTCAGCTGGTTTAAGATATCTAGCTTCGTTTTCTCTATTTCAAAGATGTGAGCAGGTTAATTGGTTATTCACAATAAAGATTTAACCGTATGTACAATAATAAGAAACAATAAGAAGAAGATGAAGAAAATGGGAAATTCTTGCATTAGGGGAACTTTTCTGTCCCCTGAGACTATTTTAAAATGTTTTAAAACATAAGAACTTTAAACATTTTGTGCATTTTAATTACTTTTTTTTTAATCATTTTTGAGAGTGTTAAAAGGTTGCTGGAATTACTTTCTATCTTTCCCTTTATTTGTGTGTGTGTGTGTGTGTGCCTGTGTGTGTGTGTGTGTGTGTGTGTGTGTGTGTACATTTTAATCTAAAATGATTTATTTACATTTATTTTAATGGATTTATTAAAATTACGTTTTTTTTATTACATTTTCAATTTTTAAAAAATGATCAGTTTTTTTTGTTTGTTTGTTTGTTTTTTTGATATGTTCAAAGTTAATTTGACTGCTACACTAGCTAACTTGTTGTGTTTGTAAGTCTGCAGCTTGTCCAAAAAGTGTATTTTTACTGAAAGGGAAAGGCTTCCTAAAGACTAGAACCTAGGTCTGAACTGAAAGTGCTGGTAAAATGAAGATCTAACTTTCTTTTCACATCTTCATAAATATGCAAATATGAAGTTGTCCTGCATTTTTGAGACATCTGAAACTTGTATTGGTGTCACACTGTGCCAGTTGCCAGTTATCTAGTTGTTCTGGTCTGAGGTGTCCTCTCGATCTTTATTAAGCAGGTTCAGAATCAGCTCTTTGGTCTTTGATGGTTTGTGAATAAGGTTCAATTCTCTGTCAGACTTTGTACACTGTAGAGGGCACATGTCTCACCCATGGCCCCTTAGCTTGGCTGATGTTGGCGAATAACGTGCCAAGAATTTCCTGGCACTTGTTGGAAGCAGACATTTTGGCTCTTATGTTGACAGCCACATTGTGGTCATGTCAGGCAACTGTCCTGATTGGAAGATGTCGTCCAATCACTTTTGACCATCGTGTTCCGTTTGACCGTGCTGTTGAGTGGTCTTGGCTGGGCTGTTTGTTTCATTGATTCAAGTTGTTTGAGAGGTACATGACCCTCACTCCAACAGGCAAAAGGCTTTTCACTACAGACAGGATTCCACTACTGACTTAGTTACACAAGTCATTGCACACTTATGTATGACATACTATTTGGGCACTGTTTTGTTTGCTTTTCACCACTCTCCCTCTCTCATTATTGAGAGCGTATAAATGTGAAATTGTACAATGGCTAATCATGTCCTGTTGAGAGTCTCTAATTGATTGATTAAGTAAATTGCTTGATTAAGTGTTGTTTGTGATTTAAGTGTGCTTTCATTAATACAACAAGCACAGACAATGAGTACAGTTAAAGAAATAGTTCACCTAAAAATTTAAATTAGCTGAAAATGTACTCGCCCTCAGGGCATCCAAGATATAGATGAGTTTGTTTCTTCATCTGAAGAAACATCACAAATGGATCCTCTGCAGTGAATGGGTGCCGTCAGAATGAGAGTCCAAACAGCTGATAAAAACATCACAATAATCCACAAGTAATCACACCACTCCAGTCCATCAATTCACGCCTTTTGAAGTGAGAAGCTGTGTGTTTGTTAGAATCACCTCCATAATGAAAGTTTTTAACTTCAAACCGTTGCTTCAGGATAAAATACCAGTCCTCTATACATAATATTGCTTTCTTCAGTGAAAAAGTTGTCTTGTCTGAATCAGGAGAGAAATATGCACAGATCAAGCACTGTACAAGCAAAAACAGTCCAAAACAAATTCGTCAGTGGATTTTGATGTGAGAGGACAACAGGAGATAGACTTTTTCATTGTGATTGGTTGTCTTTCTTGCATTTATATGAAATTTATTCCACCATTAATCTATCCATAGCTGTCTTTGCAGTGCAAAAGTATCACAAAATGTATGTTATGTGTTGGTTTTAATGCACAGCAGACAGAAAAGACCATGCATGCCCAGTATCATGACACCAATAAAGATGAATGTGGTTCTGATGCAACATTTTATACAGAATCAAATCCTGAATCTTAAACTTGCCTAAAACTTTAACACTGTTTTTTGCTGCATTGCAAGCACTACTGTTTCGTGTAAATGTACATCTAAATCATACAATATTTCACTTGTTTTAGATGCAGAATTACTTGTTATAGAGTGTTCTTATTTAGATGCAGAATTACTTGTTATAGAGTTATAAACACTGTAGGGAAAAATGTAAGTATCATTTGATGTATTACTGTAAATAAGTGTCAAGCAACACTACAGGTTTCTCCTTGTTTCTCTTGTAAATTAAGGTGCACTTATTAAAATACTGTTAAGATATTCATTCATGCATTTTTTAACACAAAGTTTGCCAAGGCAAGGCAAGTTTATTTATATAGCACATTTCATACACAGTGGTAATTCAAAGTGCTTTGCGTAAAAGAAAAGAAAATAATAATAAAAAAATAATCACAACAATAAAACAAGGAATTTAAAAACTTTGAAAATGATTTCAAAATTGATTTAAGAAGTTTAAAATGAACTTGAAACCGTTAAGAATAGAAAATGATTATACATAAAATATAATGCCAAGGTTTACCCTACAGTGCTTTAATTAAATATTCATTGCACAAGCCAGATGTGTATTTGATCACATGTATTGTACATATCCAGATTGTCTCGAAAAGAATGCATTGTTGTTTGAAATTCACATTTTTTTGTGATTGTCTCATTAAAATTTTTTATTTTTTTTTGCACTTCTGTAGTCTAAGGTTCGGAATGTCCTGCGGCTGGGTCTTCATTCTCTGGGATCAGTGCTGTGGGGGGATGATGTGTGCTGTAAGGATAACCCCGCCCACTGCCACGCCCTCACAACCTTTCTCTACATCCTCCGAGGCCTGTTACGCACATCACTCTCAGTCGCCATGGTGACCGTACCATCCCACCTCATACAGGTATTATTAATCGGATAGTTTCTCAGTGTGTTCATATAAATCCTTTGTTCAGGTTTATTTTCGAGACTGATGGTTGAAAGTCACCCTTAAATGCTGATATTATTTTTTTGAATTTTGTGTTATTACATTTTACAACTACACTACTGGTTTTTTTTTTTAAGAAATAAATTTTATTCAGCAAGGATGCATTAAATTGATAAAATCCTATCTGTCTGTCTGTCTGGGCTGGGTTTTGACACAAATTTCACAATTCGATAAGATTATCCTTCACAAGCTTGCGATTTCGATTCGATTCAATATCGATTATTTTGGCTATATATCAGGTACAGGACATGGAAAAAATTTTCAAGGAAAAAAAATCAACTAATGCTGTAAAATATACCTGAGAGTCAATAATATCTTCTTCTTTTCCTTTCGGCTGGTAGTTCCCACAACTCTGCACATCTCCCTTGTTCTTAAAAATCGGCACCAGAGCACTTCTCCTCCATTCCTCAGGCATCCTCTCACTCTCTAAGACCTCGTTGAACAACCTAGTTAAAAACTCTACTGCCATCTCTCCTAGACACTTCCATACCTCCACTGGTATGTCATCAGGACCAACCGCCTTTCCTCTCTTCATCCTCTTCAAAGCTCTCCTAACTTCACCCTTGCTAATCCTTTCTACTTCCTGCTCAACAATATTTGCCTCTACTACTCTTCTCTCCCTGTCATTTTCCTCAATAATATGGAAGGTTGAAATCTGCTGATTTGTATATAAACACTTAAAATATACAAAGTTTTTGTAATATTAAAGTTATGATACTAACTTTAACTTTAAATTGCATAATTATATTTCTACTCCAATTCGTTTTTTGAAATATAAACATTTAAATGGTGGCTGTCACAAAAACTCGACGGATTTATTCAAACATAAATTAAATATTGAAGAACAGTAAAAAAAATTATAATGAATATGTTATATGGTGCATATTTAGCAAAATGTTCCTCTCTAGACCTAATTTTTCTAGCTGACTAATGAGCTCATGGTTACAAATATGTTTTTCTGTGGTAAATGTGACGTTACGTGACATTGTTTATAAGCTATTGTCGCCTTTCCGCGTTTGAAACACTGATTGAACGATTAAATGAGACAGGATGTGGATTTTGGTAAGTTGTACTCTTTCTTTTAACATACCTTCAGATCTTCATTCATGTTTATTTTGTGCTGTAACTGCTATTAAAGCGGAGGAGACGATCTGTTCACGCTGCTGCTTCTAACCGAGGCGCTACAGCGATCCGTCACTCCCAAGCGGCAACCTTCCGGTCTCTCTCTTGAAACCAACACGGAAGTGACTTAAACTGGAATTCATCGACTGGCCGCTAGAGACTGGCTCCAAAAGGGAGTCAATCCCATAGACCCCCCCATGTTAAAATGCCCAACTTTACAGCAGAAAAAAAATGTTTACAGCCTGGTACAAGAAGTGGTTTTGGTCTATATAGCTAATTTTGCCCTTCATGACAACTGTGAGGGGGGAGAATGTTTTTTATAACTCATCCATTTAAATTATATTAAGCCTTAAAGTTCTGCATAATGAGGGACAGGTGCTAGGCGGGCATGGTTTCAGCAACCAGCTCCACCCACATCCCGCCTCTTTGCCCATTTTCGATTATCCAGGAGTGAAGTGTGGTGACGTGCTGCCAAGATGGCGATGGCCAGCTCCGCCCACTTTGGGCTTCAAAAATGCTCTTCAGAAACCTACGGGTGACGTCACGGACACTACGTCCATGTTTTTATATAGTCTATGGTCACTCCACATTAAACAGCGCCAAAACGGCATTTAATATTTGAATATTGTGATAAAATGGACAAAATTTAAATTGACACTTTGTTTCATATGAAAAGTAACAAATCACAAAGATTATTGCAATTTATTGGATGGGAGGCGCGCTACAATGTTCCGTTTATTATCTGACGAGCTAGACTAATCGATTCTTGGGATTCATGAATCGATATCGTTTCATAAAAATGAGAATTGATTTCTATCTATCTATCTATCTATCTATCTATCTATCTATCTAAAATCTAACCACTGAACTGTGATTGGTTGTCTTTCTTGCATTTATTTGCATACATATTTTTCTTCAGCTACTGTATTGCAGTGCATCCCCTCCCCATTTTGTATCTGTGGTGTTTGTTAGGGCTATTACTCGTACTGAGGTTTTAGGGATGTTAAAATCTTAACCCCAAGTATTAAACTAGGGATGCAAATGATACTTTAAATCATGCTGCTTTTTAAGGACAGATGAGCTCTATCTTTTCTAAGCAATAAGATTCTCAGTTTTTGATGGTCAAGCCTGCAAAATTCCATAGACTTACACTGAAGGAAGAACACACAATATTGAGGCACAAGGATATTATAGAGACTTAGGGTTGTTCTAGCAACACCTTGGTATCCACTCACAACACTATTTTGGTAACCACTCACAACCGTATTTTGGCGACGGGTCTTGCACAGGCACTCTTCAAAAAAGGTATCTGTTGTAGTTTTGTTTTTTTGCTATCATCATGCAAGATAGACTTTTCCACCATCGACTTCCAGAACTAATCCCACAGAACAGCCTTTTTAGATTTTTTTTAACTTGACTGTCAGTCACATGGACCAGCATTGAGGTCACCATAAGTTTGTCGACCCTGGCACACCATCATCGCCCCATGAGCCGGAGTCAAAGAGTCGACCCCCCTCCGTTGTGTGAATGAGGTTCCGCTTGGCTGGGGTTCAGGGGGCCTGTGTGTGTATCTGTTTGAGTACATGTATGTTTGGCCTTCAGAGGAGCGTCTTCATTGGCGCGTGAACCCACATTCTTTGTCTGAGGTCCTCAACTTTGCATTCAGCCAGCCAACGGTCAGTCTCGAGTCTTTCTGGGTGCTTCTGTCTTTCAGCGTCTCTCGGTTCCTGAGAGGCCCTTTTCTTTGTGCCTCCATTAGCCAACGAGAGTCAGGCCACAGCCGCTGTGCTCTAAGAGCGCTTCAAAAGACAAGATCTCGCTGTTCTTTGTCCGTTTGGAGATAAAGTGCTAAAACCCCTCTCAGGGAGGCTGGGGGGGCACACAGTGGTTTTCTGCGGTGGAGGTGATGGAGTAAATGCTGTGATTGGTTTGAATGTGGTTTTGTGGAACAGATGTGATGTAAACTAATATAGACCTTTCAGTAAATACAGAATGTTTTAAGGTGAAGATTTTTGCTTTAACTACTAAACTTGGGGTCAACTCTTGTGCTGTTGTGTTAAACCTCCATTATTTGCATTAGCACCTCATCTGAAGTCCATAGGATGTGACTTGAAATGAAAAGTCGTGTTATGTTTTTTTTTTTAATCTCAACAGGAACGGGCCGGGCATTGAAAGCCTCCTCTGATGAGACTAAAGCTACAGTCCATCTGAATCTTTAATCAATCTCTGCTCAAATAGACATAGTCCACTAGCACACACACCTACAGTTACAGCCGCTGTTGGGTCAGGACCCTGGAGACCCGGTCTATCAGTCTGAAGAATGACAGCTTCGGAGACCTGAAGGAAGTTAAAGGAAGAGCTGAACAACTATCGTGGCTAAAGTTAGCCTTTCGATGTGACTTGTAGAGCAGTTCAATTAGTAGGCCTATAAATCTGTGTCCAAATTGGCAGAAAGCAAAGACTCATTGTTCATAATGTTTACACATTCACTGTGTTTTCTTTATTAAATATTTTATTTCCTAATTTGATCATACTTTGAGCCAGCAACAAGACTGAAGTATGGACATACCCTTTTGCCATATTAAAATCTATTAATTAGATTAATCTATTAATAAAGATTTTCCCATAAAATGTAATTGGTCTATACTTGTGTATCATTAAACATAAGCAAAATCAATTTCTACATTTTTTTTTTTGCTTTGCACCTGTAATATTTACATTTAAATGACCTTAAATTTATATTATTTATACGTTTTTCTTTACATATGTCTACTTTTTAAAATATTATTTTCAGAACATAGCTAAATCAAAGATTGATTCTAATTTTTTTATATCACAGAAGTATTGTTCCTTATATCCTTATATCCATCTCTGTGTTGTATTTTTAATTAGTTAATTAATTAATTTATTTATTTATTACAATGGCCAAAATCATGCGTCAAGAAAACTAACCAATTCAACTACATACAGTGTTTCCTAGTATCTTTTTTAAATTATAAATAACACAAGCAGTAGATTTAAAACTGTCTCTTCCACTAACTTTCTTTAACCTGTCTGCTTTATTAAACACCATCCTTGACTTGAGCCTTCAGTATGTTGGCTCAACTGTTGTAGTTGCATTTTTTGTTGTTTTGTTTACTTGCATTGGTGTGATGTTGTGTCACTAACGCAGTTGCTTGGGTTCCATTTTTTATGCTAGATTTGGGAAAAAGGTCATGGCTGCGTACACGAACACGCATGCTCTCAAAGTCCACTTTAGATGAGAGGAAGGGATGAAAAGAGAAAGAAAGAAAGAAAAAAAAGAAAGGACACGGATGCATGAAAACTGCATTAGGCCTCGTCAGCTGCTACAGAGAGGGAGCGTATGAAATATTCACGAGTGGTGTAGAGGTAAATTTTTCACATCGGGCTTATCTTTCTGTCTTTCTCTGGAGTGTTCCCTCCTTTCTGAAGGCACTTTGTATTTGTCTGTGGCCAGGAGGCGGCGCTCTCAACAGATTTTTATGTGTTTGTGCGTGTTTGCTCTTTAATACTTTAAACTGACTTATTTGCTCATCTGTATTGGCCTGAGTGTCTTTGCAATTGTTGATTTGTGTTTGTTCAGTTTTACCCATGAGCTTCATATTGGTAAGGTCAAGGTCAGAGGTTTTCATGACTTCTTTTCCAAGCCCATTATGTGTTTATTACATATTTTGTCCCGTTCTATCATACTTTGATCTGTTTACCATGTTTTTACCACATTTTAATCTGTTTATCAGAATTAAACCAAATGTTTCCCATTAAAATCATCACCAAAAATGCATTACGAGCCAGTCCAAAACAGGCCATTTCAAAGTATGAAATGTAAACTTGTATAGTTCATATGTGACACAAAACCTCGATGAGCTGAAAGACATGTTTGAAATGCTTTAGATTTCTTTAGATTTTTAAACCATTTAACAGCAGATATTTTTGGAATGAAAACATTAATAGGCGAGACGTCTTTTCTCTGACTTGGATGTGGATGGGATCTCTGGATCTTTCTCTGAGTTGATGTGGCTTTATGCTTACATTCGTCCAGATTTGTGCCGTATGGTGACACTGCATGAGTCGTGCGATCAGAGAAAGAGAGACGGACAGATTTGGAGAGCATGTGTTTGAGCAGCAAACGTATGTTCTGCTCTGAGCCGATGGATTTAATGTTACACGACGCAACCAAAGGCAGCAGTTTACAGAGGTGCCATTATGTAGTACAGCTAATATCCTTATTAAAGACAATCTAATAATACCAGTTTGGATGCTATGATTGATGCAAGTGCTTATCCAAAATGTTAAAACATAATTTTGTTGCATTGAACATTGTTGATTGCTAGGTGGTTGATTACTTGCCCAAGTCAAAAGAGCCCACCGTTTTTTTGACACCAAACTTTTTAATTACACCTCAAATGGACATCAATGATCTCTCAAATGCAAACAATCCTGTGCTAATGCTAAAGATTTCAGTCATCTTAGAGAGTGGTATTGGTAAAATGGATAATGGAAAATTGGAAATTGCTGATGTCTTGGGTAATTTTGTAAGCTGAGGCTTTGTTGTAAGACCATGAATTCAGTCTCTGGAATACCCTGCTTAATTTTTTCTGAGATAATGATGACCTAATTCAGTTCTCACAGGAAAAGGAATATAACCCGTGCTCGGTAGGAGGGGTTTAATTAGCAAGAGATGCTCTCAGCATTGCTCTAGACTAGATGTTCCTACATGTGCTTGTACCCGGCACTTCTCATGTATTTCCTGTCTCTCTCATCCTCTCTCTCTTCCCGTCTCACTCTCTCAGAACAGAGCCGTAATGGGCCGAATAATCAGACTGAGTGACACTGCCATCGCTCTGGAATCATTCAAAGGCTCGGAGAAGGAGACCAACCCGCTTTACAAAGACTATCACGGTGAGAAGAAACATACATATAACAGTTCGAATGCACTGACAAAAAAAACTTAAATCCTAAATATTAAACTTTTCCTTCTAACTTGCTCTGCAACACTTGATATCTAATTTATGCAATCAGATTTTTTTTTGGTTATTATTATTTTTGCATGGCGGACAATACAGCTGATTAAAAAGTAAACAACAAATAAAACATTAGTAAATACTATATAGATATATAAAAAAAACGAATATAAATGCCAAAAACACACAACAAAATAACAAACTAATAAAAGTTAATTAATTCAAAATCTGAACAAAAACTATAACAGTATATCAATCATACTAAAGTTCCAGTGTTGTTTATTTTTAGCAAAAACTAACTTCGTTATTTGAAATAAGGCTAATATATATATATATATATATATATATATATACAGTGGGTACGGAAAGTATTCAGAC